ACCAACTTAACGGTTCCTCGGATGTTACTGGTGTGTGTGTTGAGTACCATAGGACCTCGTTTCGAAAGCAACCCCTTCGAGATTATGATGACTTACATTACCGGCTGGGGAGGGCTGTATTATTAAAAAGCTGACATCACCATCATTGTTATCATCACCATGATCGTCGTCGCTATCGGGAAAGGACACAGGTTATGGGAGGAAAAAAGTTAAAAAAATTAAATTGATAGTCGCCTTTTTTTTAAATATTTAGTCATCGCCATCAGCATCGTCATCATCATTGTCGTCATTGTCATAATTATATTAACAAAAACTGTCGATACCGACATCAATCAGCAGGGAGTGCACACATACACACAGTGAACCTCAGCACTTCCTCTCCAACAGTTAATGCTTTACCATAGTACCTCGTTGACTAACATGAGAGAAATTCGGCTACTGCTGCAAATAACTTTCTTCTGAACTCTTTCGTACTTGACTCAAAGTCGACTTTGGCCCAAAAGCCTTTATAAACAGAGTTCTTCTGCGGTCCAGTGCATATTTAGACAGAAAGATGCTCGGGCGATCACCGAGGAGATGGCGTGCATAGATCGAACAAACATTTGATTCTAACCGGAGACGTAACTGTATCCGATCAGCAAAGTTTTTTCGGACCTTGGTACTCTTGGCCAAATTTGAAATCGGAAATGAGGGATAATTGGTGTTTTCCGTTCTGGGGATTATTCTTAGTTATACTCTTCTGAAGTGATCTCATCAAGTTATGGAGAATTTTTGCATAAAATAAAACTGTTATTTGAATGTATGATGTTATAGCTCCGTTGCCATGATTTCGCCCAAAAGTTAAACGTAGTTGAAGCTGTTATCAAAGGAAATTTGTTTAGTATTGCAAAAACTGTTAATTTCCAAAATTGAGAAGATTCTCCAGATAACTGCTAATAGCATCCCATGTTAATGATATTATTGAAACGGACCCAGACGCCTGGCTCAGCAATTCTGTGTTGATTGGACTTCTTGAAAATTGTTTCAAGATCTCAATTTCTTACTAAGTTATTAAGGAAAAAACGTTATGGTTATCGACTACATCACTATTGAATCAGCAGTGAACTGGTAGCCGTTTCATACATTCAAATACAATAGATTTCTAGATTTTTAAAGCTGCACTTCAAAGGTGAACGTAGGTTCGAATTAAAGGGTTTTTGCAAGGGTTTCTAAACAGCGAGGCTGGCTCTGCACTAATAGCTGTGACGGTCCCAGTTTTCAGGATTTGTTAAAATTTGCTTGCAGGTGCCTTTTGAAGGATGCTATCGACAGGTTGGAACAACACTGGTGATAACCGAATATTCCGGTGCTGCTGCTGCTTCGGCATCCAAAATTGATGATTCACAAACGCATCCGATTGGTTTGGAACCGATTGAGCGGCTTATTTTTATCAAACAACAACAGCAATGTTCCTATTGCTGGTTTTTTCCAAAAAGAACAGGAGAAAGTAACGAAAGCACCAGTAGCAGCAATCTCGAGAACGATCAAGATCCACATTTCTTCTGCCTTCGATGTCGAAGGCGATTCGGTTCAAGCTTGCAACTACGCCAACATTGCGCGCTTTCTCATCCAACGATTGTCAGTAGAAATAGCAATAGCAGTAATAATTTTTCGTTCGCTAACATGGATGCAGATTTGCTGCTGGGAAACTCTCAAAAATCCAAAAATTCCGGAGAGTCGGACGAAAGTACCAATGGAACTGTTATGAATTCTGCTACCATC